AGTAGCTATATCAAAACAGACCAAGGAATTATTAATTTTATCGAGGGAGATCTCTTACTGATCTGACAACAGATTTTTCCTTACCCAGTCATGACAAAGGGATCATAGCGGGTGTGATCGGTCGACATGAGTTGCTTACTCCTCCATGGCACTTGATCCCACGTTTTCTGGGGTCCGAGATTGATCTGCATTCAAATTGTATTGTTCATTTGGACTTTTGGCCATTATCTTCATATTTCAATAAAAAGACATACATGTTCCAATATCTTATATTACTAACAAAACAAATCGAGATCATTATCATTTCCAATCCTAAGCACATACTTTGAAGCAGAAAAAGCGACTGTCTGTCATATCGCCATATATCTAAATATATAGCAAATACCAGTCAAACTCGATTGGGTTTAAATCAGTAGTTCAGTATGCCACATCAACAAAAGAGATCATTTCATGTTTAGATCCTACAATGTTGAATATAAAAAAGAAATAGTAAAGATTCTAGTGAGTAACGATGAAAAACCATTGGAAATGAAATAAAAAATCAAGTTGTCTTTCTTTTTATAGAACTGTGTAAAATTTTGAATGCATGTACAATATAAATTGATTATTTCTCCTTCCTTCTGTAATAAAAGCAGAGATCTTGGCAAGTAATAAATTTCTACTGTTTTATAGAGAAAATTCTGCAACGAAAACCTCTTTTAAAATCTTACCCAGATTTTGTTCATGTACAAAAACTCATTTTATCATGTATTTGCAGTTATATCACTACAGGTATAAAACTTGTGGGGAAAAAAAAAATTCCAACACAATGGCTAGTAATACACCTACCTCCATGTATATATTTAATGATAGTATGTGGTCAACAAATTACCTAACAGGTCCACTTAAACATAAGAAATATAATTTTCCTAGCCATAAACTAATATAAGGTAAATAAAGAACCCCACATTTTCTATCTATCTATCTATCTATCTATCTATCTATCTATCTATCTATCTATATATATATATATATATATATATATATATATATATATATATATATATATATATATATATATATATATATATATATATATATATATATATATATATATATATATATATATTTATATATATATATATATATATATATATATACACCTGTATATATATATTTATATAATCTAGTTTCCTGTATTTTTATATGGAGTTCTTCTTTTCTGGGGTGTTTACAGTGCAGGGAACTAATTTTGTTACATAAACCAGCTTCAGCATAAGCATTAGTAGCATCAGGATCGAGCTAGCATCAGCATCAGCATTTAAAAAACAGCATTACCAGGATCAGCATCAGCAAGCAAAGGATAAAACCAGCATTGACCTACATAATATCAGCATTATCCTACTAGCATCAGAAAATCAATGAGTTTTAATTCAGTAAAAAATTAAAAAAGAAAGAAAGAATATTGGTTAAAGTATTCACATTATTGATACATAGTGAGATATTATGGTCAAATAATTGTAAAAGGCACTTTTATTGCTTTAAATGGCAATGCTGAAATTCATTATCTACTTCCGGTAGCATGATGCTACTTCCGGTAGCATTGACCTTATTATAAAACAGCATCAGGATAAGGATTACTAGCATTAAATCAGCAAGCAAAGGAAGCATTCAAATCAGCATCGATGCTGTAACAAAATTAGTTTCCTGCACTGTAAATAGTCGAAAAATGACCACAAACACCGATCCCTCTTAAGCCAACTAAGTACCGCCATGCCACACCGTTGAATTTGTACTGAGGCAGCTGAATGATTTTTTCTCTCTTTTATTTAAATCATATAAGGTTGCAGACATCACATAATATCATTGTTAACATCATTTCTGATGTACTATTTTACAATATACATATACATGGAATCGTTATTTTTTTTTTTTTACAGAAAATCACCTAAATTCATGATAAATACTGTCTCTTTTCTGTCTCTACAGCCCAGTAGCTATATAAATACTTCGGTACTAGTTTAAAAATACGGATACATATTTAATTGCTGTGGTAAACTTTAGAAATTTATTTCAAAATAAAGGATCATCTCCCTCATGCTAAGCTTTGATCAAGATCCTTCGACGTATTTGGCTCCAGTTATTGGCAATTTTTTTTTTTCAGTTCTTCGGTCTTTTTTTATTTAAATATTTTGGATTTCCAACCTGAACATCACTGAAGAGACATGGTTTGTCGAAATGCGCATCTGGTGCATCAAAATTGATACTGTATACTAATAAATCTGTTTAAGAACATCATTTTGAATATAGAGCTGTATTCCAGCCTAAGTAGGATTTTTCTCAGACAGTTGTTCATTTTGTAATCTAAATGTCATATTTTACTCGTAAATAGTGAAGCTAATAAAGGCTAACAAATTATTTAAAAGCAAAGCTTTTTCATCAGTTTCATTAAAAAAATCCAAGAACTATCCAAGAAAGTAATACCAAGTTTTAGAAAAAGACTAACCTTCTCCCATGTTTACAATTTATAATTTTGCAACCAAGCAGGGGATATTTTGTATCATCTTCAACTTCAAAATTTTCACACAAAGGAAAAGCATCCTTGTTTCACTTGATCCTAAAAAAACATTATTGTTCAAAATATCATGTAATAATTTATAGTTAAATTCTGATATTTTCTATTGTACATATGTATATATTCTCTGTTCTTATAAATATTTTCCATGTACAACCATCCAGAATATTGAATATCCTTTCCCATCAATTTTCATACAAAGGTTTTTGAAATTTTATATCAATAAAAATTGAGTGATAAAAATTGCTTCTTATATCCTGTATCTAGATTTACATGTACAACATTATTTTTTATATAAAAATATACATTTGGTTTTAATGTCACACACTTAGCATATGAACAGTCAATCTTTTGTTTATATGCTTTAACAGTTTTAAGCATATAATATTCACATAAGATATTGTTCTTTCTACTCAATTTGTTCGAGAAATAATTGAAAACATATATTTTCCCTGAATCATCAAACATATCTTTAATGTATAAAATATCACTCTGAATCAATTTTTTTTAAACACAGGGGGTTTGAATTAAATTGAAAAAGTTTATTATGTCTTAGAGCAGATGAATGTCAATATGGCCAGATCTTGGTGTTAAAAATAGCTGTAATATACAATGCATTATAGAACACTGAGAGTTCCGTCGTTGAAGGGGCAGCATTAAAAATGTAAGACATGGATATACTGGATGAAACCGGAAAGAACCAGAATTTTGCTGGTGATTTATTATATTTAATACATATGCCCGAGGCTAGTCATGAGGTATTAGCCAGGACCTATAGCTTTTATCGTCTGGATATAAGTTGAAGATTCTCTCAGGAATGTCGTCTCCAGACAATAAGTCAATCAGCCTGATGCAATGCTTTCGAAAAGGTTTGTTGGGTGCAGATTGAACCATAATTTCGGATTCAATTAAACATATGACTATACAGCAATTTAAAATAGAAGGCATTCGATGTTTGTGTTATGAAATTTAATGAACTTCTTTGAAGACATTGTGTCAAAAGCTGATACGTTTTTCATCTGGAATTTGATAGTTAATACTATGAACTAACATTGAGTATGTGTTGAAACCGGATTTTAAACTTACTTCCTGTACTATTCTATTTATAATTTAGTTCCTTGGTTTTTCTTTAGGTAATATTTGTTAATGCGAAAGAATGACAACTGTAAGGTGACTTTTATAGAAAAAAAAATAACTGGAATCCCGCATGTCTAAGAACAGTCTATCATATTGAGGAATCGCATAGAAAAAATGGCAAATGATTCCATGTTAAAATAAGAAATCAGATTACTCCGAAAAAAAATCAAATCATTAATCGCAATGACAGGGACATGTGGCCAAAAAGGTTGTTCCTATTTCTTTAAAATGTTTCAGAGATGATTACAATTAAATTGTTAGGATTTGACAGGATGGACGAGAGTTATATCTTTCTGATAGCAATTGCCATAGTAAATAAAAACTTTCAAAAATAAAAAAAAATGTTTTCCATGTTTAGAAATTTTAGAACCTGAATTTTTTCACCAATATTTTTTTTGTTAACCTAAGGGGGTATTAAAAAAACAACGACACCGTGAGTTCGGAATAAATGTCCATTTGTGAACTACTTTCATTGGACTAATTTCACTTGACTTTTTTCTAACCATAAGTTTCCCTGCTTGTAAATCCATGACATTTCGGAAAATCTACTAAACAATCTTTCATAAAAATTAGGAAAAAAAATATCTCTAGAATTTTTCACTTATATGGAGACGCCACCACTTGCCGGTGGAGAGCTACAAATTTTGACCTATACTCGGCACTCAGGGCCTTTGAGCAGTGAGGGATCTCTTTCGTGCCAGCACCTACTGCGACAGGGGACCTCGGTTTATACGGTCTCATCCGAAGGAACGGTCTCCACGTCCCATAGTGGGATTCGAACCCTCAACGTGATCAACTCCTTATTCCGCGACTCTAGAGCGAACGCTCTAACCACTCTCCTAGGACAGAGGACTAGGATTGTGATGGGCACCATGCTCATTCTGGGAAAGGATATCCTTATCCACCCATCCCATTGCCGAGATTTGGTCATTTCTGACAAATGAACTGTTCTTGTTATAAAAAATAACTTGGTAAGAAATATAAGATTCGGGAAAAATCTTTCAGCTTGTGTGAACCGAAAGCTACAGAGCATGTCATGTGACCGCCTGGATCACGTGATTCGCGCATGGGTAGAAGGGTGGCAGATGTGCATTAAAATCGGAGAGGACTACTTTAAAAAATAATGAACACTGAAACCTAATTTTATTTCTCTGATGGAAGTAATTCAATTAGTTCGCGAACTTTTTGATCACCCCTTGTAGTTAGTTACCAAACTTTATCATCTATACATAGCAGAAAATTTTTACCTGCTAAATGATCCATGTTCAGACAAACTACAATGTAAGTAACATACAGGACAATGAAAGGCTTTAAAGTTTTAGCTTTATTTTATTGTGTTATAATGGTATAAGAACAAGCATGATACATGATATGATCCAAACTAAACACCATGTGTCTAAATAGATATAGTAACACAAAAGGCCACCATACTTTTATAATTTGATGAAACTCATCCGTTGTTTGACACTTAAAATTTGCCGCTTCAGTGTTTACTTCATGGTGTGCCAGCTTTATTTCCTTTGTTGCCTTTCTTTTGTTTCTTGTCCTTCTTTGCCTTTTTGTCCTTCTTTGGTTTCTTATCCTTTTGGGGTTTCTTGTCTTTCTTTGGCTTTTTGTCTTTTTTGGGTTTCTTATCCTTTTTGGCTTTCTTATCCTTTTTGGCTTTCTTATCCTTTTTAGGTTTCTTTCCGGGTTTGGTTGTTACTTCAGGTCTTGGTTTTGTGGTCACGTCAATTCCAGGGGGCAGTGGCGGATCAAGTCCTGTTTCACCCGGAATAGCGATTCCTCCACTCTGTACCATACGCTTGTTTCTCACTGCTGAAATCAAATTTCATATTTATCATCATCTATACGTAAGACATGTACATTTAATGATTTCATTTTGGATAATATCTATACATAAAAATTTAAGATGAAGGATCATGATATTAAATTCATGTATAATATTTATACAGAGAAATTTAAAATGAAGAATCATGATATTAAATACATGTAAATATCTAAAATAATAATATCAATTGTATCAAGTGAGGAATAACTACCTCTGATGGCTCCATTATTTTCGGCATTCACCTGCTAAATCAATAAAACAAAAATCAGTATCTCTTCAAAGTTTTCAAACTGTTTTTCTGTCGTGCTTTCTTTTCATTCATCTCCATAGTATAATGCATTCTGAATTTTTCCCCAATATTTTTTCATAAAAATTGAATAAACAAAATAAGAAAAAATTGTAGTGAAATTATTGGAAAAATTTTACCTGAGGTGAAAAGCCCGCAAGGAGGACGCTACACAGCACTAGTAGTGCTGGAATTGTCATGTGCATCTCCTGGGTAAGATTCGATGTTATGAATAAACAGCCCGATATGTCCCAGGATTTATAGCAAGGTTAATTATCTAAACATATTTCAAATCTTATATTTCTATTTTTCACTGATAGGCTCTCCACCGAAGAGGGCGGTGTTTGTTCTGTTTTCTTCAATAGACATAATTCAGAACTGAATTAATAAAGCAGATATGAGTTCTCAATTAACATAATATTTTAATAAATGTCATAAAATGTTTTGGCTACATACAGGTAGTATACCGTGAAAATTTCCTTTATGTCTTAAATTTAGGCATTCTGGCAGATGGTTATAAAACTATGACAAATGAATGTCAAACATGGAGCTCTGCACATGGAGATTGTTTTTTTTTACGTGATTTATATGACAAACATTGGCACGACTGTATACTTCATATCAAGCATAAACAATTTTAGAATTTTTGGGAAACAAAAAAAAGAAACAAATACAAAAATAAAACACAAAAAATAACATTAAACAACAAGAAAGCAGATATTTCATGAAATGAATGGTGATGTGCGTCGTATGGATTACTTGAAACATAAAGAAAAAACATCTTTCTATATTTTTTTTTTACAAAGTATCACTTTTGACTTCATTGACCTTTTTTTGACTCGAACAAATGCACCAGTAAAACATATACTTCGTTTATATTTTTTTTTAACAATTTATTGTTTAATCAATAATCAGACTATATTTTATTTTAAAAACAAGCATTCTGAGAGTATTGCATTAGCAATACTAGTCCCCTACCAGCAAGTGTAATCTGGTTCCCGTTAAGAATTGAAAATGCCATAATTCCGTCAAAAATCAATGAAGCGGAACGAAAAGCAAACTCGATCTATAACTTATCAAGGTAAAGTCACATACCAAAAATCAGCTTAATATCTGCAAGCGTTTAGAAAAAAATTACGGAAAACCCTGAAAAATTGCGTGAGAATTATTCTGTTTAAGAACCTATAGCTAATGGATTTCGCATCAACCGAGACAACAATGCCCGATATTTTTAATAATCGTTTCTATTTGATAAATTCCAAAGCAGTCGATTTCCGTCATGTCAAATTTAAAAAAAAAATGAAATTTGAAAAACCATGAACCATGTTAGCTTAGTGTGCTGTCGTAAAACTTATAGCTTGCAAATGGCGCTGTGATTGTATTTCAAATTCTTGTGCTATCTGCACACAACCGGTTTGTTCCTTTAATTTATACATTTTAACATATGAAAAGTACATGCGAAAGAGGATTGTACATACTTAAGGTAATTCATTAATCATGAAATATATTCACATACAAATGTTCCAAAATGACAATAAATTATTGAAACTGAATGTTTAAAGGTACCTTTGAAATTGATTTCCTTCAAATTGCAAAAATTGTTCAATTTAATTAGATGAACATAAGATACTTATTAGCACGTTAATACTTTATATGGTATCTTTATTTAGGAAATGCCATGAAGGAAATATACAAAGGCATGCGTAGGGTGTGACAGGTGGTCAGAAGATGCACACTCCTCCATGGCACCTGATCCCATCTCTGTTTTCAGATGTCCGTCTTTGCTCTGCTCACAATTTGTACTATTTAACTGGACTTTGAGCATTGTTATTCGTTATCTTCACATTGGACAGAAAAAAATGATCGAAAATCGATTTTGATACTTCATCAGTATATAAATATGATTTTTCAATACCAAATTTCTTCACTCTTGTTATAATAATTTGTCATGTATCTGAGCAGCTAGTAAACAATTCAATGAATTTATACATTAACTTATTTCTATACTGGTACCTATCTCATCCGGATGGCTTCATTCTGTATATAAAACACTCCAGATACATGAGTCCGGATAATTAATCGTTTCTATTTTTAAAAGTCCCCTTAATAATTATACACTTTCATAATTCTAATAAGTCAAGAAAATGAAATTTAGAAAAAAAAAACTTTTGTTTCATAAAGTAAGAAAGTAATATTCTTTAAATGTTACATATGTGCAAACAAAGCATGCAGGTAAAATCAAACTACCCTCTGCTCTAAAAAATCTGCTGCTCCTTTACCACTACTATTGTGATGAAAACGAACGGCGATCAAGTTCAAATCCGATAAAACTATACAAACTAAGAGCAGGACAAACAAGGGAAATACCAGAGCTGAGATAAGGTGCCATGGAGAAGTAAAAGCAAAATTAGTGTGAAACTTGAATAAAGAAAGTCAGTCAGCATTTCAACAAAAGACTAATTGTTTTTTTTTTTTTTTTTTTTTTTTTTTTTTTTTTTGCAAACAAGGTCATTGAAACGACTTTATATCTTTTGGATGTTGACTTTAAACAGGAGTAACGATGTTCCTGTAACATCAGCTTAAATGCCAGTATATAGTCTGCCCCGGTTAAGATATTTATCGATTGCAGAATATGCTTTCGTTTCGAATCAATTGAGAATTTGCTGTTGATAATGGAACAAGTAGATAGGAAAGTCCAAGTCATCCCATTCCTCTTAAATTTTAGTTGTTAGCTTGCCATGAATGTCTACATTTAGTAAAAAAAATCCAAATATGTAACAAATATGTCAGAATCCTTGGTGTATCTTTGGCAAATTTACTGGAATGTATCGAATATAAGTTAATTGATGAAACATAGATATATCAGTATATATATATATAAGTCAAATATAAGGTACATGTAGAAATATTTCAATAAATTCTTCTTTTGAGGAATATAAACCTTTTAAAAAAATGTCTAATAAAACAATGATGGAAATTTTATCAGATTGCTGGTCTCCAAATTAGACTATAGAAAATACAACATAGATACACGGTATTTGCCAGTCAGAAATTCCTGTACATCTTCTTAATATTAACTTCAGAATACTTGCTTGAGGAATCAAAATGAGTTTTAACAATATGCGTACATTTTCGATTGCCATTTGTATCGAAGAAGCAGTTTTCTATAAAACCGGAGAGTTTCTTTCACAGCTGTTGTGTCCTATCATCATCTGATAAACAGTTTTATAACATACTTGGTATTAATAACAGGTTTTTGCATATGCAATATGCCTAGCGTCACAATAGCCGTATCAGCCGCCAGGGTTCTTATGGATCCTGCGGGGCTGATATGGATCTGCATGGCTGATACGGATATTTATTATATACCCATCAATTTCCTTGTTTTTGTTACTGTTAATTTTACAGAGTGTGATCCGACTTTCCAAATCACCACACTGTGGTTTTCTGAATCCATATCACCCCTCTCTGAAACTGATGACGTAGTACACAGATAAATGACGTTTTTATTCTCGCGCATCAAAAGTTCCTTGACAAAATGGTTTGTTTAATGGATAAAAGTTATGTAATTGATCCCAAAAAGTTTTCCTTTTATTATACTTTGCTAGTTGTAAAGGGGTATATAATAAATTTATCATTATAACAGTAACTTGATCCGAGGAGCCGTATCACGTCTCGTTGACAGGCGCGGATCATCAGATCAAACTCGACGCTTCGCGTCTCGTTTGATCTGATGATCCGCGCCTGTCAACTCGACGTGATACGGCTCCTCGGATCAAGTTACTGTTATAATAATATATATATATCACATCCCTTGTGAACTAAACGGTTAAAGACAGTACTTGTGATAATACATGTTTAGCTTTTATCATTCATATTCTCTGTGAAAATTGTTGAGGTTATTTTCTATAATAAAAAAGCAGTCATTTAACTGTATTTGCTCATGTAAATATAGAAGTGTTCTGCATGTTATTACTGAGTATGTAAAGGGTATAATAATACATACATTTTTCATTTCACACGCTGTATCAGCCCTCAACCAACATCAGCCCACTTAGTGTACTGAGGGTATCGTGTGAAACAGTGATTGTATCGGTCATTCTCAACTTGTTGATCGATGATTTATGTACTATATGAGTTCAAATTTAATTTTCAAAAGATATTAGAATTGTGCCTGTTTTTTAAACTTTCTCTTAATCGAATAATTGTACTGTAAAATAGTAATGTAAAAAGAGACAAATCGACTAACGTTTACTGACATGATCAACCTTAAAGTGTACATTAATAAACAAGCAATGAATAACATTACGAAGCAAACCAGATAGAACTGGTTTATAGTAATAAAAAAAAAATAAAGAGACAAATACTATTCTGTCAAAACGCCACATTAAAACATAAAAATATGCATGCCATATGTAAATTTTAAGAGAGCACATTTGTTTTTATATCTATTTGGAGAGAAATTATTTTTTTCTCACTAATCTAATTTTATCCCTCTCAAATAAATCCACGTTTTACATAAAGAAGATAGGAAATTGTTCTTTTTTGTGAAATCAAAATCTTTGAAGGCAGCTGAATGTTCACCATGATTTATTTTTCATTGTATGTAAAATGAGAAGATAGTAACAGGAATCGTCCTCAAAGTCTATTTAAACAATACAAATTGTGCATTTTGACTGAGTATCACTACAGAAAACATTATTCATAGCCATACAAATAGCTTAAGTTTCAATTGCAGATGGATTTCAGGAAGAGATCCAGGAGTTTTGGTAAGGGTGGGGCTTAAATTCTTTTTCAGAATCAAGGGTTTGGGGTCGCCTTAAGGTCCAGGGCGAAGTCCTGGTGGGGCTCAGGGGACAAACTCCCCAAGAAGCTCCTGAATTTAAGTGACTTTAGGAGAAAGTTTTAACTAATAATTACTTTTATATCCGTCCTACAAACACAAACCCATTTTAATATCAATAATCAAACTATATAAAATTTCTCATCAGAAAATTTCTTTTCAGTCAAACGTATTTGCTCGTCATTGATGATATCTACTTATATATATATATATATATATATATATATATATATATATATATATATATATATATATATATATATATATATATATATATATTTGGATTTGGGTCACATCCAACCCCTTTTTCATCGTGTGATGACATTTACAACCTTAATGCATGTCTTCTCGTTTTTGTAATAACAGATTTTCAAATAGCTTAAGGTTTTCTGAG